CATGTGAGGTCGGCCCAGACCCTAGGGGTTTTTAAATCAAAACTAAAAACACACTTCTTCTCTCTGGCTTTCTAGTTAGAGCGGAGCATGACTCCTGACTTTTCCGTGTGTTTTATTCTTATTTTGTTTTTTAAGATATATCTGTTGTAATTTATTGTCGTTTATTGTGTTTTGTAGTATTGTATTTTTATTACATGTACTTTGGCTCGACCAAAAATCGCTTTTAAATGTGCTTTATAAATAAAACCTGATTTGATTTGATTTGATTTAACCGCCTTCGCCTCCGACTCAGCATTTCTATTGCATTTGAATGGTCGATCTGTATTTGTATTTGTGGCTGAGTTATTGGCTTAAATAACTCAGTTACGAAGCTGTATAACACGACCACCAAAACGTCAACTCCATACCGTGTCTGAGGTCGGAAGGTAAACAGAAGCATACAGCGGAAGCGGAAGTTTTTTTTCTTCTTCTTCTCTCGGTTTTTTGGCGAATTGCAACTTTAAGGTGCATACCGCCACCTACTGTACTCGCCGTGAAGTTGTTTGCGGCCTGCCAGTAAACCCAAAGCAGAAGAAGAAGAAGTGACGTCAGCGGCTCATTTGCCTAATCCACCCCCAGGAACTCATTTTGGTGTGAACGCGATCTGCTTTAGTTCATCAGAACTAAAGAGCTCTCATGAACTAAAGTTCTCATGAACTACTGTGGGAAAAGTACTTGGTGTGAACGCCCCTATTGCTAACGTTAGCGCTCGATTTCGAGGACGATGGATGACAAAAAAACTAATTTTGTCAGTTTAGCTGTTACATCTCCTTGTTCTCTCTTGTCCTTTCTCTTTTGAGCGCTGCTCTTGTGCTTTGGTTTGCTGTACATTATAAATGCAAGCTATTACATTTTTCATAATGCTACCGAACTTGCTGCTGCTAGCTACAGTACAGTACAGGTTGATTAAATGGTTTGCTCGTCACGCAAGGTATCACATGACATGAAAGGGAGCAAGGTCATTGGACAAACAAATTACAAATTCATTTAGGTTGCTTGGTTACTTTGAAGACAGCGTGAACCGGTCAATACCATTGGGGCCCCAAAAAAAAAATATTTAAAATAAATATTATTTATTTATTTTTTCATAGGCCCCTGGCGTTGCACCGGCTGCACCGTCGATAGTTACGCCACTGATTATATATAACCACTTTACTCTAAGTGCCTCATGCAGACATCCTGCTGAATACACAGACACACAGCTACGAGAGGGGATTTAGCTATATACGGAGACGTGTCACGTGTGCTCCTGATGGAGCGAGGTTCTGGTCCTGATGGAGAGAGGTTCTGGTCCTCATGGAGAGAGGTTTTGGTCCTGATGGAGAGAGGTTTTGGTCCTGATGAAGAGAGGTTCTGGTCCTGATGGAGAGAGGTTTTGGTCCTGATGGAGCGCAGCCTCCTGCCAGAGGGGAGGGGGGTGAACAGTTTGTGTCCAGGGCGGGAGGGGTCGGCCACTATCTTCCCGCCTCAGGGTCCTGGAGGTGTGTAGGTCGTGGAGGGATGGCAGATTGCAACCGATCACCCTCTCTGCAGAGCGGATGACACGCTGCAGCCTGCCCTTTTCCTTGGCTGTAGCTGCAGCGTACCAGATGGTGATGGAGGAGGTGAGGATGGACTCGATGATGGAGGAGGTGAGGATAGACTCGACGATGGAGGTGTAGAAGTTCACCATTATTGTCTTTGGCAGGTTGAATTTCTTCAGCTGCCTCAGGAAGAACATCCTCTGCTGTGCTTTTTTGATGAGGGAGCCGATGTTCTGCTCCCATTTGAGGTCCTGGGCGATGATGGTGCCCAGGAAGCGGAAAGACTCCACAGCAGTGACTGGGGAGCCACACAGAGTGATGGGGAGTCACACAGAGTGAGGGGGGAGTCACACAGAGTGATGGGGAGTCACACAGACTGATGGGGGCTCACACAGACTGATGGGGGGTCACACAGAGTGATGGGGGAGTCACACAGAGTGATGGGGGCGGGTGGGCTGCGTTCTTCCTAAAGTCCACAACCATCTCCACTGTCTTGAGAGCAACCTCTTCTTCACCGCACCGCCGATACCGGAGGGAAAAACGCGTCATCTGCAGGAAACAGCGTCTGAGGGCATGTTAATATTCAATAAACTATGAATGTTTTATATCCATGTAACGGGAAGAAACTCAGCTAACTGATCTTTTTTTCTTTTTTTTTTCAAAAAAACCCACAAAGCTAGCGCTGGGCCTATGAATTAGCCACGAGCGAAAAAATGCTAACGGCGTTTTGCACAGAAACTCACTCATAACACCCTTATTAGTTATCTTTACTGCACGTCCAACATATCGACTAGCATCGTGAGAAGACACAGAATTGATCGGTACCTACATCATCACTCCATGATAAGAACTCACGACTTTATAAACAGACATCAAAACATGTGGCGCTAGGTAGCTAAAAACGCTAACATGGCTTACCTGTGTCGTTGTCTGGTCAAAAGTGGTCTTCAAGGCATTCAAACGATAAAAACCCTGCTGAAGGTTAATCCATAGGTTAATCCGATGTGTCTGTGTCCCTTTGAAATGATTTCTGATAATCCATAAGCAATAAACCTGCTTTTCCATTTTCAGATGTCAGAGCGAGAGATAGGTTCACTCTCATGCAAAACTGCGTGCGCATAACTCTCATTTCTCAATGGTAACGTTGGTGTGTATGTGGAGACCCCCCTTCGATTCTATTGGCTCTAACGGTCAGAAAGAGATGTCAATCACCAAAATCGACCAATGGGTTCCAGAGAAACGGTAAAAAAGGCCATTTCCACCCAGATCACCTCAGAGGTGGAGTTTTATTTGCTAAACCTCTCTAAAAAGGTCAAATATCACTTGTTTTGCATCAATCTTGATACAGGGTACTTATTATATGTTGTACTTTGGATTCCTAAAGCTTTTAGTCTACTAACCCATCATCCAAGGGTAGTTTTCACTATAAGTAAAAAATAAGTTTTGGACGGACTCTATAATTTACAGTTTTTTACTATGTTCAATCTGAATTTTTTCTTTAAAATAAAAAAACATCTATATTGATTCTGACTTGTCTACATCCAACTCACAGGTTTATCATTACTTTGAGAAAAAAGATTATTAATTTAACCCTTTTAGAAGTCAAGATATGGTCATTTGTTCTGGGAATGTCATTTTCGAGCCTGAGACCTGAAAAACAGGCTTGGGGCTTAACAGGTTAACCAGGTGGTTGTCCCTGTAGGCAGACTCGTCCCCACCAGAGATGAGTCCGATGAGCGTGGTGTCGTCTGAACTTCAGGAGCTTGACAGACTGGTGACTGGAGGTGCAGCTGTTGGTGTACAGGGAGAAGAGCAGAGGGGAAAGAACGCAGCCTTGAGGGGAACCGGTGCTGATGGTCCGGGGGTCAGAGACGTGTTTCCCCAGCCTCACGTGCTGCTTCCTGTCAGACAGGAAGTCTGTGATCCACCTGCAGCTGGGAGAGCTTGTCCTGCAGCAGAGCCGGGATGATGGTGTTGAAGGCAGAGCTGAAGTCCACAAACAGGATCCTGGCGTAAGGTTCCTTCTGCGTCCAGGTGCTGGAGGAGGAAGTGAAGTGATAACAATTAGTAAACCATAATGATGGATGTTATTATCAGCAGTTGCCAATATATCCCCTACATCTTGTATGATGGACCTTTGAAGCAGGGTTGGAAACTTAAACACAAACACACACACTCACACTATTGATTGTAAAACAGTTCTTGAGAGCATCCCAAGGGAATTGATCCTATGCTAAACCCCTTCCAGAACACCAACTTTATAATACCTTAGAAACTACAACTAGGTGTTGGCACGAATGTAATGCTTCAGCTTCCTACAACTTTAAAGCTGTGTGGACGTGGCTCTATGAAGAGTCGTTAATTTTTTTCTCATTCATTTCATAAGTTTAGAAGGGGGGAACATAGTCTAACAACAGTTAGCTTTTGTTAATGTTACCTCGAGCCAAACTTGAGAGACTTGTTTCTGAAATCCCTTTCTCTTAAAGTGAATACATTAAAAAAACAAAAACACTGGATTGCTTGTCTAACATGACCTAGTCCATAAATGTGGTAAGGGTGGGAACAATCAAACGCACCCTCCCAGGCACTGCGTGTTAGCGAAGTACAACTGGGATTTCGAAGAGGAATATATACTTGGTAAATTCTTTTTTTGTTGGAACAGTTTTTTTCTACTCAATGATACAGACCATTGTTGAGGAGATGCAAAACATACTGTAAATGAGTTGGGTCCGACACATACTTTGAGTAATGTAACTTTGCTGCTAAAAAATGAAACATTATCAGATGAGGACAAGTGTGTGAGTCTTTTAGGGGATTTGATCTGTTCTCTGCATGTCGCCTATGTACACACTGCTCTGGTATTAATACCAAATATAATTGTAAAATGTAAGTCTCCCGCTCTTGTCATCGTTCAGGCTTTGCATTTGAACTCCTGGTTGCGGACTTGAAGGGAACGACTTCCTGGCCTTCCTGACTTCCAGGAAAAAGGTGAGAATCTAATCCATTTCAATGCCAAAAGCAAGTTATTGTTTTTAACTTTTTTAATATGATTTTTTGGGGAATTTCAGTTTTATTGGACAGTAGAGATCTACATGCATGCACGTGCACGGTTAAAAGTAAAGTAGTAGATAATATGCAGCAAAAGGCCCAGCCGGATGGTTGCTGCTCCGTGTGGAAAGTGTTCTATCAGGTAAAGCACTTTGGTACCCAGTTATTTATGGTATTGAGTTTGAATTTAGCCTTTGGAATGTAATTTCCAACAGTGCATTGTAAAGACTGAAAAAACAGGCTCAGGTTAAAGCTTGACATGTTTTGGTCTTTTACTTAAGAGGATGTTTGTCCTCCTGTGTTGTCTTATTTCCTTATCTTTCTTTCAGGTGTAACATCTACCAATGGTTGAACATGACATAGACCTCCTCCACCTCTTTGCTGTCCTACTCAACCCTTCTGATCAGAGCCTTTCCTAAATAGTGGTAAGTTGTTTTACAGTTCAGTGTGCATTAATTTAGCAACTTGCTTTACTGCTGTTGAATAAACCCTATATTGCTAGTGATTTTATTAAAACTATGATTTGCAATCTTTTTTATTCCAATTACAATAATCTTTTTGTTATAATTCTAAAACACATCTTAACATCCATCATGTACACTAGCTCTATTTGTTTTTGCCATTGTAATTCACCATAAGTAATTGTTGACTGTAACGTCTATGCCAACCGACTGTAATTTGCAATGTATTTTACCATACTTTAACGGTCAAGTTCTGGCAACCACAGCAGCCCAAATGTCAACGTAAATGTCAAGTTTTCTTTTTACAGTGTACTTATATCTGTACATTTCTTTTCAGTTTGCTTCAAGAAGTGGCTTCAACAGACAGAAATGCAGGCCAGATTGGGAAAGGCTGGACGCTACACAACGGGAAACATTATGGACATGAACAAGGAAAAACAAAAAACACTTTCTTTGTTGCCTTTTTCTTATCATACATAGTGTTACTGTTTTTGTTACCATTTAAATATTGAATTCTATTTATTACTTTTATTTTAAATCAAATGCACCTGTTTTAGATAATATATTTATTTTTATGTATAGGTTTATTTGCAGGTTGGTTGTTATTTGTTATTGTATTGTTACTGTGTATTTTATTATATTAACTAGCTATTTATTGCTATTTATTACATTAAAATACTGTTATGAACACTATACAATGTCTTTATTTTGGTAGATACCAGAATACATGACACAATGAATCTTTGTAATATATGTATGTTCTCTGGTTTAAATAATCATACCAGTATTTAAACAATGTATGCTGGTCACCTGGAATCCTGGCAAGCTTCCAGCATGGTATATTTAATACTATTATTAAACATAAACTGGTGATAGATGGATGCTGGTGACCAGCCCAGCATACCAGCATACTATGCTGGTATGCTGGTTTCTTTAGCTGGCCCGGATGGCTGGTTTAGCTGGTGCCCGGTTTAGCTGGTTTAGCTGGTGCACCAGCTAAACCAGCTAAACCGGGCACCAGCTAAACCAGCTAAACCGGGCACCAGCTAAACCAGCCATCCTGGCCAGCTAAAGTGTCCAAAACCCCTCTAAACCAGCCAACCATTCCAGCCTAATATCTACTGGCTGGTCAGGCTGGTTGGAAAACTATCATTTGTTATTTTGTGTCACAGCTGACATTGTTAAAGTCAGCATAAAAAACATTTCCCTCATTAAGCAGCACTAATTTGAGAACAGTCAGGAAGTAGCGTTACATCAGTCATACATTTAAAACAAATATTTAAAATGTGATTTTTTTGTGATTTAATTCAATGTTAGTTATGTTTGAAAAATGAGAGAAATTGGGTAAGATAAAAATCACAGACTCTCTTTTTATTGAAATATTAAAATATTTTTTGAAAATTATAAAAAATTTGAAAAACTAGGTGATTTTAGACCAATTAAGTCAAAAACAATAGTACAAACATGCAAGATTACAGCTGGCAATGCCACTATACAGTTATTCAGATATTAGGGAAAACAGGTTTTAACTTCCATTTTGCTTCTCAAAGGATTTTGGCAGTGGCAACACCTTAGTCTTTATTGCTTGTATTAAGCATTTAGCAAATTTCTGAATGTTTATGAACAAAGAAAATGTCCAGCGTCTTCAACAGGTCCCTGTTTTTCATCAATTGGATGGAATGAGTTGGACTGATAAGCACACTCCAGACTCAGAGCTGCAGATGGCTCACGGCTACAGGCTGCTTGTGGAGGAGGTCTTGGCTTCCACCGATGCAGATTTATCTTTAGACCAACGCTTTGAGCACTCACTGCCCACATTGTTTCACCGCTGATCTTTTGCTCTGTAGCACAGTGCACATTTCTTTCTGCAAACACACTTTTCCTCACACAAAACTGATGTTAGCTTAGCAGAAAGAGCCGATGTGGAGAGTGTGCTTCCACAAAATGTGTCATTATTGAGCTCAATAGTGGATGTTTGACCAGTGGCAAGCTTCCAGTGGATTTCAAGTGTGAGTGTGACTCACTATAATGATTGCTGAGCTATGGAAGTCCTTTAATCCTCTAATGACAGCACGCTGCACCACTAAACTTTCACTGCCTTTCTGAAGTTCAGTTTGCTATATCCAGTGGTGGAATGTTATTAAGTACATGTAGTTAACTTAACTGAAGTTCACTTTCTTTGGTACTTCAGAATCAGAATAACTTTATTCGTCCCATGGGGAAATGTACATTTGTTACAGCAAGTAAAGAGCCAAAGATAGCTTAGTAATTAAGAAGCATGCAAAAAATATTAAAGATAAAAGTATAGAAATGACACAATTAGCAAAATACACATCCAGTAGCCTACCAGTAACAGTTTTCAAAATATAGCAGTCAGTTGAAAGTATTAAAGATGGAAGTATAGCTATATACGGTTAAATATTGCACATAAGTGGTATTGCAGCACAGAGGTGTCTAAACTTAAGTTCAACCATGTTATGCTACTATATACTTCTACTCCACAACATTTTATAAGCCAATATTTTTCGACTTTTACTTAACTTATGCTTTATATATCTTGAAGTCTGAGAATGTTTTGTTCGCTGAAGCCTTTGATTAGATCAAATTCATATTGTAATTCATTACTATTCACAGTGCATTGTATTTTTTTTTGTCATACCTGTCTTTTTCTAGTTAAGCTTATTTGTATTTATATTCTCTTGCCTTTTTAATGTCTATTTTTCTAAATGCTATCAATGTGTTTTGTAAAGCACTTTAAAATGCCTTGTTTCCATATAAATTCATTTTTTCTTGCCTTTACAAACAGCTCTCAGAGAAAGAGGTGTGTACATTATAAACACTGCAGTTCCTTCTCTCTCCTCATGGTGGCAGCAATGCTTTAATGACCAGTCAGCAATGCTTTAATGACCAGTCACTGTGGAGCTCTGTGTGGATGCTGCCACTGAGCAGTCGGTGCTGGGATAAAACTGCAGGGAGGAGATGATGATAATACTGTTGATAATAATTATGGTAACTGATCATAATCATAAAGGTGATAGTTGTAATGCTATTTTTGTGTGTGGTGTGTATACAAAAGTGTGGAGCAGCAGCGGCAGTTTCACAGTTGGAACATTACATAGTGTTGTTCAATGTGCATCCACCTGCAGCAGAGTCTCAGCACCAGAAGGGTTTATCCACTAAAAGGTCTATGTCATCATTACTAAACACTTCTCATACGTGTGTGCCTTTGAAAACCAGTTTAAATATGTTGTAATATGACATTATATCATTGTGATGGCGCTGTTAATCCATATTTTAATCCGGCTGAAGCAGCTATTCTTCTGTTCACACTACAAATGTGCGGAAGCAGCCTAATTAGTGCCAATGTTAAAGTATTATGCATTTTTCCATTGGAGGCAGATGATACTTTTTGTCCACTTTGTCAAACATGTTTCCCTGTTCTGCATTCCACCACTGCCCATGGGGGCATTTAAGTAGTGCAAGAAAAAAGACAATAGGGGATGCTCCCATTTTTCACTGATGCATTTAAATGAATAACAAAAGACAAAACAGAGTTAATAGGATCCATTTAACAAGGTCAACAGTCCAATGAACTAGCAAACAAAAAACACACGACATGGAGAACATATTTTTTTCTTCCACTCTTTGTTAGAGCTAATTTTGTCCCAATGTTATGTTGTGTTGTGCTACCTTTCTCCTTTTCTTTCTTTCTTTCTCTTCTCTTCTATTTTTCATGTGATCCTGTGTCCTGTCTTATTAGTATTCCCCTGTCTCACTTCTTCACCCTCCTGCAGGGGATATATACAGTCACTGCTTTAAATGGAAACCACTACTCCATTACAAAGACAATATTTGGCATACTCGAGCGAGGCGAGACTTTATGAAGACTTTATTTAGTCCTGTGAGTCACACGCCTCTCAGTGCAAGGTGCGTTGAATCATGACCAGCTCATGTATGCCTGTAATGTTCGGTATGCCGCGGCCTCCAGTCAGGGGAGCTTGTTTTGTGTGTCGGGTGTGACAGGTGGTGACGCTGAAGGACAGGACAGGTTTTTATCTCTGTCAGGTTGCCTTACTCACTTCTGGTTAGCTTCCAAAGTAACAATACAGGGTGGATCAGACACACAAACACACACACACGCACACACACACACACACACACACACACACACACACACACACACACACACACACACACACACACACACACACACACACACACACACACACACACACACACACACACTAGGAGCTGCATACCAGAGTGTCTGCCTGTACGAGATGACTGACGGATTGCTCTATTGGTTGTTTTAGAGGCCAAAAATGTAAAAAATAAAAATATGGAAGCTGTACAACAATGCTGTCTCTCAATTCGGATACCTCGCTTATATTAGTACACTTTGCAGTGTGTGACTGCCGACCATGTAGTGTCTGAAATCACACGGCTGAAGTGACAAAGCAGCTATTAGCTAGTTACCTATCTAGCAATGATCGTTCTATGTAGTTACAGACTGCTAAACTAATCCTATTAATAATAATAATAATAATAATAATAATAATAATAATAATACATTACATTTATAAAGCGCTTTTCCTGGTGCTCAAAGCGCTTACAAGCAAGTAAAACAAAATTAAATTAACATAGGCTTCTTTTTGACACCACTATAGTGGAATGTTACTTAAATAGTATTAAAAAAATCACAAAGGTTTACTTTTATTTGAAAAGTGCTGTGTTTACAGGAGCAACCACAATCATAGCTAGCCTATAGCTTCCGTAACGTAGCCATGATGGGGATGGCTTAGTATTAGAAGTGTCCACAAGAAGTGTGTTTCACACTCAACTTTTTTACTGTTATGAGTACATCTTTCAGGTACTCTTAGTGCATTGCATTTTTCTATACTTGCCATAATTCTGTTTCTCACCATCCCAGAGAATACAAATATATAAAAATGTATATTTACATACTGTATGTATATATACATACATACACACCTTTACACCAACTTAAATATATATACTGTATATACACATACGAAGACACAAATATACATATACACACATTTAGAGGTAATACAAAAATATAACAAACGTATATGCACTGAAATCAGAAAAAGTAAGTACAGAATATATGCATATTGACACACTGCACAATTCAAACTTGCATGGGCATGATGGAATTCATGTGTAGTGTAAGTATACTGAAGCTTTCAAAGTTCAGAAATAACAAAAACAGTACAATTGATTAGAATTAGAACAATTGATGTACTTAATATGACGGCATTTAACTTGCACTATGTAAAGATTTTCTTCTTTTTTGGAACAAAGTACATATGGACAAACCAAGTTAATAAAAGGGGGGGTGGAAACGAGCTTAAAGATGGGAAGTGAATTAACGATGAGGAGATGAAAAGGGGAGCAGAAAAATAACACAAAGAGTG